ACAGCACGAGGCCACGTTCCAAGTCATTATCACGAGCACAGACTGTTCCGTACTATTTATTGTATGCGTGGGCGATTCAAAAGGCGGCGCCAGGAAAACCGGCGTTCAGAACGGAAGAGAAGACGAGAGGCTCGCGGAGGCGCCCTTCCGCAGCGTTTGTGTCACCGTTAAGTCGACTCTGTTTACGAAAGGGGCGAGAGGGTCCGGGGTCATTCCCGCAAAGCGTACGCTAGTCGCACGATTATAGTGCAACAAGCTTACGAGGAGCGCCCTTCCAGCAGTCTGTTGGTCACTTCCGTCTGAGATCGACTCCGTCTACGAAAGGCCGCCTGAGGGCGTCATTCCCGTCCAAAGCGTACGCTAGGCCGCGGATATAGTATCTACAGTTCGTGTGATAGAGTACAGTTCCGCGCGATATAGTACAAAAACTGTTCTGTATTATGAATATAGTACTGGCGGTGCCTTTGAATTCGCCCACGCAAATGCAATAATTGGAAATATCTCTTTATTTTGCATGTGAATACGTAAGTGGGCTCAAAATCGTCGTGCTTTAAACGAGGCTTGGCTTATGGCTTGGTTACGGGTGTAGGTCTGACCTAGCCAGCCTTCCGCAAGAGCAGAGAGAGGGCAGGCCTCGTACACACTGTTGCGCATGCGCTGAATTTCCCAGCATTCAAGGAATTCTGTTTCACGCTCGGATATCACCGTGTTGGTTTACGTTACTCTCGCATAATTTCCGTTTTGAGAGACGGCTCAGGAGAGACGTGAACGAGTTCGAGAAAGCTGTTGCGTACGCTCTCCAGCGTTTTCACTCTCCAGATTTGCAGCTGAAAAATGAGCAGGAGAGCTCCCTTAGAGCTGTATACAGCGGAAAAGATACTTTTATTTGGTTGCCGACTGGGTTTGGGAAGTCTCTTTGCTACACGGCTCTGCCGTTCTTATTCGACTACAAGCTGGCCGCCAGGAAAGATACATACCCACAAGTTTCTGTGACGTACGCATTCCTAACTGTTCGCGCATTCGCAAACAGTGTGTGTACCAGGCCTTTCCTCTCGCGGATGGGAACGAGGCTAGGTCTGAGTCTCGCAGTAGGAAAAAAGTTTAAGTCGAGAAAAAGTGGATGGCTCCTGTATCGGCCACACCACAGGTCACTTGTGCTTAGGCGAGTGAAGCGAGCCTGCCTAGTTATCTCAATATGAGATTTTCCACAATAGAATACATATATCTGTACTGTACAACCAGCCCTGCACACACTGTAATGTTATACTTGGTTCTATAATACTAGGTATAATACTGGTTCTCATGTGATTATTGATTGTGTAAGGGAAACCATAAAAGGGGTTGCTATGGCATTCTAAAAGTGGCTAGGAAATGATGTCATGTAAACTTTACTACGCGTTTTACACGGTTATGTAGTAGGGCCTTTTTGCTTGCCAGGTCACAAATATGCACGAAACATGTGCAAAATACTGAATTAATGAAAGCACTAAAGTGCAACCCTCGGCGGTAAACACGTGAGTTGTAGCATCACTGTATGCAGGGTCATCATACGCTCATCGTCGAGCCAGTAACACGAGTCTCACCGTAACACAAGGTAGTTGCATTAGCGGTTAGAGCAATTGCTCAGGTGTTTCAGAGGCTCTCATATTTGCTTTATTCAATCTATCCGTACTTCTGTGTTTCAATACTCTCCGCCAGACGTTCATAGATGGTAAGGTATGGCCGCATCCACAAACTGCTCGCCACCTGAACATATTATGCTACATTGCGAGCATACCTTGCTCAGCATGTTTATCCATGAAAACAAAGAGAACAGAGATCAAAACTGACAGAAGCCCGTGATCGTACAACCAACGTGGCGTAGCGCATTCTCCGGTGTGAAACATTTACATGACGCGTGTGCGCTATATAGCCTGCCGGAGAGGGCCCGTGCACGATCGCCTCACGTTGGCTTTTTCTCTGTTTTCACGCCATATCTCTGGAACGCAGTCGTTTCGGGAAAATCGCCACATTCATATCAATCTTCTCGTCGTTCACAGCCCATGGTGCCATTCATTGGCCGCTTCGTAGCATGTAGTGCTAGAACCTAGTGAGGACAGACGGGACAGACAGAACGACTACTGTAACCCTCGCTGCGCATGCGCGCCGAGGGTTAATATGTGTCCATTTGGTTAATCCCCCACAGTTTCAGTATCTGAGATTCTACTGTACCTACTACATAAGAAAGAGTTTCTGTGTCTTACATTAGTACATACCATGATCCGCAGCTACTCTTACAGCACTGCATAAGGACTCCTCCTCTTGTTGTAACTCATACGCTTGACATAGTCTCTAACACTGTCCCACATACTCATTTACATGCTCTAGTGCCTGGGCTCTGCGATAGTATGCCTGTGATGGACAAAATCAGTGTACATGTGTCATCAACGAAGTAAAAGCAAAGCAAAGGCAAACAACATGTGACACTAGAGTCAGCAATAAAGTGAAGTTTATGACAATGAAACCAATCATACCTTGCTATTCAGTGGACTCATCTCAACTGCCCTGTTAGCATACTCAAGAGAGATTGTCGGCTGATTTAACTTCATATGCATCAGTGCTACATTGCCCCACATCTTAGCTTCCCACTCTTCTGAACCACAGCTTCTGTATAGTTCACCAGCTTGTATATATTTCTGTATGGCCTCCTCGAATTCATTTCTCTCATAGTGACTCTTTCCTTCCAATCTGAAGCGTTCTGCTTCCTGTAATATGAAATGAATTTTCCATCTCTAGTTCAGTGCAGTGAGAAATCAGCAGAAACTTACCTCTTTACAACTGGGGTCCACTGACATGCTCACTTACTTAAAAACACAACTTAGAACAACACTCTTTACTGTAAAATCTGCCCAGGGTGTGTCGCCCAGTGGGTTTTATGTTGTGCTATTCCGTGAATTCTAAACGGACAAGGGTGTTTCCGCAATAGTATTCCGGGTATATTGATGCAAAGGTATAGCTATGAAAAACTCAGATTACAGGAAGGACTACAATGTTTCTGTTATTCATAACATTCCAAGTGCCATGTTTCCTGAGTGTAACAAATTGCTAACCATGCACTGTTACCATGAACGTAGACTGGTATGTTTCCCTGAATATTATGCTGGACTTGCCATACTTGCTGTGTATTCAGAAGTGCAGAGGTCAAGACTTGTGCACTGACTTGCACTAAGTAGTAGTAATATCTGCACTACGTCTATCCATTTGCAGGACAACTTTGACTTTATACAATTCACTGCATGATGAATTGCTACTATATACTAACACATAAATATAGTCAGTACTTCCCTCGGTGCATAAGCAAAACAATGGAACATGTCCCTGAGGCTTAGCTTACGATGATGTTCTGTCCATACAATTGTTTGTACTGGGGCTGTGAATTACAAGTCAGTTACAGGAAAGAATCAGTGCTCTCGTGCGGTGTGCCACCGGTGTCAGCTACAAACGTTCGAGGTTCTCTTTTGTTGTCGTGTACATTTGATGTTGTTTGAGAAGTGCACTTCAACTGTGCCTTTAATTTCTCAGAGGCTAAAAATTCTTCGTCACGGAGAATGGTTTCAACACAGTGATGTATTTTATCGTGATCAAGAACAATAGCCCACACTCGGATGATTCTCTGTAATGCCGACATGTTTGGGGTCCATCTTGTGAATGATCTGCCATATTATTCTATCTTTACCACTCAGACGTGTTTCGTAAAGCTCGGCTCCCTTTCTAGCAGTTACAGATTTGCAGTGTCTCTTATTGCCTATAAACTCTCCTTCAGTTAGCATTTTTAACTTTGCACGAACTGTTTTTCAACTTTTCACCGCTTTGCATAAGAACCTTTTCAACCTTTTACTAACTCATTGTCCATTCTTCTTCAAACTTTACCTCCTGCGCAACAGGCAATTCAACGGCGTCGGCAGCTGTAGCTCCTTCACTTTTCCGTTTTGTGTGGTAGATCCCCGAGAGATTCGCATGAACTTCGTTTGATGCATATTCGTCAGGTATTTGAGTTCTATGCCTTCTTCTACCTCATTGTCTCCAACTGCAACTACACTTTCACTTTTGTCAGACGTTGTATAATCATGGTTGTCATATCACTTTCTGGTGTAGGAACTGCTTCAGAACAATGTCATAATTATACTTCTGTTGATCATGTGCCTTTGAGTAGCTAGATGACACTGTAGTACCCATCGTTGTTGCAGTGCTTTCCTTCACCTTATTTAGGCTTAGGCTTATGGTGTTAGTTTCTGCTGAGTGGCCATCAACTACTTCACTCTCTGTCTCCCCTCCACCAGCTTGAGCATTTGGATAACATCCTGGCTCAGTCTTTGCCACTCCACATTTATTATCTCTAGTCTTTCTTAGTGGAGCTACTGGAGCCAACTCCTTTTGTTTCTGCATCAGTGCGTCTGCGGTAGCTCTCATTATTCTCACTCTTTCATCTTTTTCTTTCAGTCCAAAGTCTGCCAGTTTGCAGTTTTTGTCTGTTATTCTTGGATCAACGGGATACTTGCTTAAAACCTTGCAAACCTCGATACTAACCTTGTTTAACTTTCCGCCTAATGCTATGTGCCAAGGAGTTCTCCCTTCGTCATCACATACTTCTACTGATGTAAAATCTGCATTTTCGCAAACCATCTTCAGTGTGTCGACTTTTCCATTTCGACACTTGAGTGTGCACTCTACAACCTCGTTCAGGATTTGAATGTGGGGTATATCATATGGGAAAGCACTCCCATTTTCGATCAGGATCCCGATCATATCCAATTTCAAGCAGTGTTGTGTGTATTGCTTTTGTATCACCACCTTTAAGGGGTTGTGTCTGCATAGCTGCAAATCAGCTCCCTTTGTAAACATCTTTCTCAGCCAGTCAGGATGGTACCACAGTGCTTTCCTCTGCAAAAGTTCGGAAATGTCGATTACTCCTCCTTCAATTTCGAGTGTTTCCAGAAACATCTCCACTAGCCGTGAGCTTTCCTCCTCAATTGCTGCCCTTATAAGCTCTGCTCCTATTACTCTTGTCTCCCTCAACATTACCTCATGCCCCTGCAATTCCGTTTTAATGCACTCAGAATAACTTGTGATAGATGCTATCATTCTCTTTACTTCACTGGACGTATGCTTCATTGCTGTCGCTACGATATCGTGGCAGCTTACTTCGGCCTTGAGAATAAATCTAAAAATTGGAAGTACTCCCAGTGTAGGTTTTTCAAGAGCTGCTGTGCATAGTTTCATTACATCGTTACTTGAATAGCGAGTGGTTAATGTGTGATCCCCACTTTCTTCTACAATCGATTGGCATGATTTGGTCACTGTCATTCCACGTAGTGGTACACCTGCAATTATTATTACAAGAAAATGGCAGCCGGCAGTAGTCATTATAATGAAATGGACAGTGGTACACTTTATCATGTGCAGTTCAAAACGTTTAGCTCTACGGACATGCTCGTACTAGCTTGCCAAATAGATACATACCATGGGTTGCAGCTACTTTGACTGCGAGGTAGAAGGTGTTTTTCTGTGGTTGCAGCTCATAAGACGAAACATAGTCATTAACACAGCATGGTATTTCTTCAGCTTCTCCAACGCTTGTGCTCTGCGGTAGTATGCCTGAGTGGTAGGGAAACGGCTCTTCAGATTTACAACTCTAAATGAAAGTGCAAACCCTCGGCGAACTGCGCATGCGCGGTACCGCTAAATTGATGGGCTGGGCTATTTGTAGTATGCGTATACTCTCGTGTCTCCCGCTAGTAGCTCCAAGATACACAGAGCAAGCGGAGGTAAGCCTGTGGTAATTAGCATATTGGCTTGCTCACTTGCTTTTCACGCCAGAACTTTAGAACGCAGTATTTTTACGAAAATCGCCATTTTTAAAATGATGCCAGTGTAGCGCTGAACCTGTTGGTGTCGCTTTTTGGCCGGTTTGTTGCGCGTGGTGGCAGAAAACGTGGTAACAGACACACACACAGACAGACAGACAGACAGACACACAGAACGACTACCGTAACCGTCGCTGGGCATGCGCGCCGAGGGTTAATGACTCCAGCTACTCACTTTGCAATATGTAGCGTCCAATTGTAATGCCTTTTTAGCGCACTGTAGTGAATTTTCTGGTTCATTCAGTTTCAGATGTGCCAAGGACATATTGCACCACACCTTAGCCTCTAATTTTGTACATCCACTTTGTTCATATATTTGACTGGCTCTGACATACATCTTGACAGCCTCGGTATAGCGAAAATCATTGTAATGGTCATTTCCCTTCTCTTCTAAGACGATCTGCCTCCTGTAGCTAATGGAGATTAGCACACAAACGGACGTACAGTAATTCATTCTTATAACATGCAAAGCCCATTGTATCAACTACTGCTACGTTACACTTGCTAAACCAAAATACCTTGTTTACAGACATAGTGCCTTGACATAACAAAAAATGGTGCATTTGTCTTTTTTATAACTGATGGAGTGGTGAAATTCCCTGAATGATGGTATTGACACAAAATTGTTGTGCTGTCATTCAGCAACAGGTTAATGTGCAAACGTAGCTGATGAAGAATTTTTTTATTGTAACTATATTAAGGTGTGATGTAACATGAACATATTTTTAGACATGCATAAAGATTACGTTATGTTTTCCCCTAGATGGGTTACTGGAATGCAATCGCCTTATTAAAAAATTTGTGCTCATTAATTACATTACATTGTGCAGAATGCCATGTCACAGCATGCACGAGCAGCTTGTTTTGCAGAGTGCATGTGCATGTGACATAATGAATAACCAAAGGTTCAGGTCAACGAAGTAGTGAGTATGAGTGAGTTGTCAAAACTTCCAGCACTGGATAGTGGCAGGTCTCCTGGCCAGCATTTGCTCAAGATAAAGTCCACAGCAAGAGGATGGCTTGCTGGAGTCCTGGTGATTGGCTCTTTGGAGGGATGGAACATGCCATCCATTGATATGCAACAGCTCACGCTTGACTTACATATATACTATTCAGTAGAGCATGCACAGAAAGGGTTACTGTTACCTATATGCATATGATGCCTTGTCTTGCGGCCATGTTTACATGTGTGGATTTAGGCATCCTCGGTGGTTTAATTACCCAGGCCTAGGTCTACTGCTACGAAGAGAGCGAGAGTTAACTGTGCCATAGTTGAGGTTTGCCTTTGCCTTGTGTTTGAACTCCTGCCTCAGTGGTAAGAGGCCGGACTCTTCCTAGACTGAAAAGTGTCATGGGTTTTATATAATCCCAACCAGGGCAGGTTGGCAGGAGACCACGATAGCCTATCATTACCCTCGGCGCGCATGCGCAGCGAGGGTACTGTAGTTGGGTTTGTCTGTCTGTTTGTCTGTTACTCTACATCTCAACTCTCGAATGTCTGTTCGTCCCAGAAACGATACCATCTACCCAACGGGCGACGAAGGCCAGAAAATAAAAGCGGTTTTCTCTGAAAATGCTCCGTTGCAAAGCTAGAGCGCGAAAAGCTAATATGCAAATACGCAACGGACGGGATGGCTTACCGCGGTCGTGCTCTGCGTACTTCGGAGGCACTAGAAGATGCAACGCAGGGCGTGTATCGCCTCTCGCATGCTATGTAGTAGTGTAGTTAGCCCGCGTCAGACTCTGCGCGAGCGACAACGCGTAACAGCTAAAATTAAACCCAGCCCATCAATTAGTGGTACGGCGCATGCTTTTACTGACGCGTGCGCGTCACAGTGCGCCGAGGGTTTGCACTTCAGTTTTAGCAGTTCTGACCTGCACATGTGTATGGGTACACACACATGTTTCTGGTGCACCGAGGGTTTTCACTTTAGTGCTTTTCATTTTACCTGTGTAGCATCACAGTGACCATAGTTTGTAACTAAGCGTATGTTCTTCAAGTACACTAATTACCCTGTCATACCTCGTGCACATGAGACACTGTCTTAGAGGTCATGCGCGGTGAGCATCAACAATATTTTGTGGTGAGAGTTCACAAAAAACTAAAACACTAAAGTTTTATATACAACTTTGTAGAAAAGAGCGGTGAGTTGCATGCACAGTAAAAATGGTATCATCTCTAACTTAGAGAGGGGTCACTGTCATGTTGTGTCATGCTCTTTGAGAAGTCCGTTGGAATCACAAGACTTATTCTTCATTGTAACTAAAAAATAAAAGTAAAAATTAATTCCAACACTATCTTGCGGCTGTGTGAACTCTATGTACATTCAGATTTTTTTCCTATCACGCGTGGTGGAAATCCTGTAAAATGTGTGCAGTACACTGGCTGCATAATTTTTGCAAACTTACCATCCTTCTTGGTTTCGTCAGCGTTTGTTTCACCTTTGTTTCTGGGAATAGAGAGGGAATTATTACGCAGATTGTAGCTGTTTCGCTAATACATCAGTGTTTTATTGCATGAAACTTCACATAAACTTCCCCTGGAAGGGCACTACGATTGCACTACAATTCAGACTATTATACACTGCGATCACTGACATTATTACCTTAGGTTACATAAGCGTTCCTGAATTTTATCTTAAAAATGATCCCAAGTGCTACTCCCGCGAGTCCTATCACAGCAGTCACCAGCGAAACCACTGTGGCTGCCCCTATCTCTCCCCCACTGAGAGGTCCATCGGGACACTTCCTCAACATGGTCGGTGCACACTCGGGGCTCAGGAGGTCCTTGATGACAACTTCACCCATGCAGCGACTGTCTAAATGGAAGATGATATTGTGGAGCAGGATGGTGCCTCGGTGGCCACCCATGCCGCTACATAGGCCGTTAGATTGGAGCTGTGACCTTAGCCAAACCCTCGCAGCCTCCTCTGTATGTCACACTTATTGAATCCATGTCGAAACAATAGAATTCCCACCATCAGCAGGCTATTGCTGGTAAAGGAGCAGTTGCATCTTACATTGATGTTGTGCACTATGGCTGATGTCACGTCAGCCACTTTTTTTCCTGTTTTCTCCTCCTTGTGGAACAAATGGTAGCTGTAATATATGTAAAGAAAATGGGCCTTACTATCCATGATGGACAATTGCTTAAACTAACACCTTCACTTGAAAGAGAGTAGCTGTAATTAAAAAATGAAGAAGAAACTATTATTATGCAACAGCACACTCCAAGTAGCTACTTACAATCATCTGCCGTTGTAATATTGACATATGCTGGTGGTCCAGTCCCAGCACTGTTTGTTGCACGAACAGAGCAGCTATAGGTATTGTAAAGGCGAGAATCCCCCAAACATCACTGTCTTTGTCTCAGTCACAAGAGGAAGGGGAGAGAGGGGGATTGGACTGCACGCGATTGTGTGAAATATGATTTTGCCATTTTGGAGGTGTGGCTCAGGGGGTTGCCATGTAAACGAGATATTTCTCGCTCCAATTGCCTCCGCTATTAGTCCAAGTGGTGGCCCTGTTGGGCTACATAATACATACAGTGGTACCTCGTTAATACAAACACTGTTACGACGTTCACTGTACCACTAAACTGATAGGGAACGCAACACTGCAACACCCCTTCAAAATAATGGGGGTAGCTATTGATAACAGCAGCTATGTAGCTAAATTAGTGACACTGTCACAGTGACCAAACTATGTGAGCATACCAATCTAAATTCCCGATACAAACCACAATAATGGGACACTACAAATATTATACTCTCGGCAGTGGTGGTTTGAGGTGGTTGACGAGGTTCGATGGATGTGCAATAGCTAATGCATGGATGAAGTGTATACATTAAAATAGCCCTTTTCATAACTATGCCTTTACTATGCCTTGCCTCGGGGTACTTATCTGTATCATAGTATGCTTACTGATTCAAGTGTAGAAGCGGTGATAGTAGCAGGGGGTGACATTACGTCTGCTCACAGTCACTGCAGTAACTGTACAGAAGTAGAGAACTCCTGGACTCAATGAGAACAGGCTGGCACTCTGCTCCGTGGTGTTCACAACAGGGGATCGCCGATTCCCATAACAGTAGGACGACACTTCAAGAGGTAGCCAGCGAGTGTTCGCGCATGAGGGGGAGCCCCCAACTAAACGAGAGGCTAGTGTGTGTCGTTGCTACTAGACCAAAATCTGCCGGAGGTCCTGCAGTATACACGAAATCATGTCAGAGATCTTCACTTTAACAACTGTAGGGTCTTACCTTCTAATTTTATGTAAAACGCGCTCGTAAGGCTTTGGGTCATGCATGCAAGCATTGTTGGTGACTCAATGTTGAAAGCTTGAAGTGCTAGGAAACACAGCCAGAACTCCATCGTCCGAAGTCACTCCAGTGGATCGTTGACTGGCTGACCATTGATGAGCCACTTTAGCACAGGACCTTGACCAGGGCATCGGAAACAGTGGTCCTCGCGATCGAAACAGTCACATGGAGGATAAGTCGTAAACCTCTTCGCAATTGTCCACGGTGATTTCACCTTGTGATTATGAAGAGACGCATACAATGGGAAGAGATAGTGTGGTATTACCAGTGAAGGAGAGCGTGGCTGGTTCACTGTCCACTAGACCATAGCTCTGCCAGTAGTACTGGCCGTATGGACAGTATGGAGACCCACTTATCACAGAGAGAACTGACAACAGCTGTAGAGTTGATCACTTCACTGATATCGCTATTGCACAGTACCAGTGACAAAACTCATGAAGTGAAACACATTGGATGATAGGGGCTGGGTATCCATCAACCCACATGAAGTCTCACATCACTGCCTATTTCTCTGTAACTGATGCCAGGTGACATGAAAAACGTGTGGCACCAACGCAATGAATAGAAGGACAAATTATATTATATGAGCCTAAAGAATTGGTATATGATGTATGTGACCTATTCATGTTCACTTGCCAATGCTAGTATTCACTCTTATACAACGTGACAAGGGTTATATAGTGGCCATTGAATGGTTAGTCACTCACTTGAGGTTATATTGACAGGACCAATCACGTCACTTGGTAGTTGAGCTGGACTCTGTAATTACCCAAACACTGTAGTTGGACCCTCTAATTAGTCCGGATACAATGAGTCACACTCAGTACAGAGATCAACAGAGACGCTGGTCCTGGTGTCAGAGGTTTCGTAGAGCACAGTGAGCACAGTGAACCCACTTGCAGTGGGTGTTGGTAATGAGGGGAGACTCCAGGTTATTATGATGCTGGTTCCACTGTTGTCCGTCTGTTCTACCATTAGATTGGTTGCTACTGTAGCCACTATAACAGTAATTATTAACTTTCATGCATGTATAAACACTCACATCAGCGTACCTCTAACGTCAATTGTTCTACCACTGAATGTCCCCCATGCTATTGTAGACGGTGCACGTATATTCCCCTCCATTTCTCCCTCGCACCATCAGTACATTGTGATAGACAATGTCAACTGCATTCACAACAATCTGGCTTGAGGAATGGTTAGCATCGTCAACAATCTCCTCCCCCTCTCTTTCCCACACTACACTCGTGACAGGTGAACCCTCACTGATGCACGTCAGTGTGAACAGAGCTGGGTCTTCTGTCACCTCTGTCTGCAGCTCAAACTCCACTTGGACCGGATTGAAGCTGCCTGCATGCCAATAGTTAGTGCATTATTGACCACACACCCAGAGCAATGGGCAGAGCGAACACTAGTATAATACACATGTACGTAAGAATGGGTGTAGCTATCTCTCTATGTGCCAGAATTACCTCCCAGTTCCCCAGACGAAATCTGAGACTGGGACTGTTTGTCATAGTGTCAACTAAAACATGCCAATTGCGACACATGTCGTGAAGTGATGCTCCTCCAAACGTAGGTGAGAGACTTCAATATGGGAAGGACACCAGGCAAGTGCAAAGCGATACACACAGCTCTTATATACTATGTCCATCACTGATAAAAAGTTACGAGATGCAATGGCACCTGGATTAGAAGTGTAGAGTCCAATGTAGAATCTCTGGAGAGTCCCATGGCGATCGGGCACGACGCACCAGTAGAGAGCAGGGGTACCCCCAGTGATCCTGTTGAGACGGACATACCCGGGGCCCCTGGTAATGTAGAGATCGGTCGCTCCATCTCTTCCTTGGTGGAGTGGAGATCCGTCTGGAGAGAACCAGCCACTGCCCGTGGAGGCTGCGTCTGATCCGTTGCAGCAGTCGGCGTTCTCAGAGGTGCAGGTTAGCCCGTCAATACCCTCACCCACCTCGTCCCTCATCACCAGGCTGTTGTTGAAAAGTAGGGCACCCTTGAACACCAGCCCTGTACCTATTGGTTTGGGGTTTGCTTCAGTCTACCTAGGGCAGCTCTTTTTCTTTCCTTGGAAAATAGAGTTGTCCTGGGTGTAGTTTGGAATATGTCCTCACTTGTTTATTATTATTTAATGGCACACAATACCAATGTGATTGCAGGGTGTAAGATGGCTGTGGGTGGCTATGATGAAAAAAAGTTGTCCTGGGTGTAGTTGACTTGTTTGCCTTTCTACCTCACCTTGTTATTGACACAAGCATGATTATATAGTTCGCCAGAAGTAAGTAATAGAGGCTGGCCTGAGCTCCAAAGGGACAGCAGTTAAGTATAGCACCTCATTTGCATATCCTCACTGTTTATACCACAAAACAAGGAAGTAATCACACGGTATGTTAACCTCATGACTGCATGGTATGTGTAGGAGTGTTACAGTCAATTAGGCATACAGTTTCATACACAGTAAATATGAATGCGTGAAGCCGACGCGGTCAAAGTTCTCTAAAGACTAAGAAACCGCAGTGAACTACATAATAATATAACAACCAATTTTCATGGACTCTTATAATTTTTGCTTTGGCTAATACAACAGCAGAGTTTAGCTCCAAAGGGGCAGCTAATTAGGGTTAATGACCGCATCTTGTATTTAACAATCTGCTGCAATAATCCAATATTATCACGCATTAAGTAAACTAGGCATCACTCATTCCTGTGTACCTACAAACAATTCATGGCAAGAGGAAAATGGAGAGTAAGTAGGTTGAGTATTAAAGCACGTAGTTTGGCCAATATGATTGCAGGGTGTAAGATGGCTGTGGATGGCTATGATGAAAAAAGTTGTCCTGGGTGTAGTTGACTTGTTTGCCTTTCTACCTCACCTTGTTATTGACACAAGCACGATTAGTTAGCCAGAAGTAAGTAATAGAGGCTGGCCTGAGCTCCAAAGGGACAGCAATTTATATATATAGAACCTCATTTGCATATCCTCACTGTTTATACCACAAGACAAGGAATTAATCACACGGTATGTTAACCTCATGACTGCATGGTATGTGTAGGAGTGTTACAGTCAATTAGGCATACAGTTTCATACACAGTAAATATGAATGCGTGAAGCCGACACGGTCAAAGTTCTAAGAAACCGCAGTGAACTACATAATTATAACAACCAATTTTCATGGACTCTTATAATTTATGCTTTGGCTAATACAACAGCAGAGTTTAGCTCCAAAGGGGCAGCTAATTAGGGTTAATGACCACATCTTGTAGTTAACAATCTGCTGCAATAATACATGCAGAGCTTGTGCTAACTCTCCTGCTGTATACTGTCTCTTTGTTACAAACTTCACCTGATTCATAAACTACTCCACTCATGATGTCAGCCCAGTATATTGAACTGCTCTGAACTACTGCAAACCTGCACAACCAGACACAGATGCAGTGGCGTTAGAGTCCTGATATAATACTGTACTTGCCTGAATCTGATTGGTCCAGTGCCTGCAGATGGTGCAGTCCATGTCCCTGTCACAGAGGATTTTGTAGAGTTCCCGGTGTGTGTAAGGCCAGCCTGGGGGTTCAACATAAAAATGTGTTGCAGTTAGTATAAACCAATTCTAGATAAACACTAACCTTCCTTCATTCTCAGATATTTACCCACTAAATACAAAAATCATTATCTAAATCAGGACTCTTCTCTCAATTATTTCAGGTAGAAATTAGTGAACCCTGCAAGTTAACTTTACAGGAGCTCGTGCTATGGTTTAGTTTCTGCAGAGTACAGTAAAATGCCAGCCACTAACATGCCCGGGAGCTAGTGTATAGGGGTGTAGATGCTAATGGCTAGCACACCACAATCACAGAGTGCTCACTGAAGAGGGAGAACAGGCACTAAGCTGGGTACCAGAGACTGGGACAGAGAAGGAACCCGTGAGGGTGCTGTCGTCTGCCATTACCCTCGCCTGGAGCAGAAATCCTCGAAACATTGTATCATTGCTAGATAGATTCACTGTGTGGGACATAACTGAGGTTGTTGAGAGTATAAAAACACATTGCTTACACTGGTATGTTTGTCCAGGTAGATAGTAGTTGTTCCCATCGCCATACATATTGAAAACAGACAAATCAACAGTGTAAGGTGAGGGAGGTGGTTGGGGGAACCCTCCATGATCAGGAGTTAATGAAATGCAGGCATTTGATGGCGCTCCTGAAGAGAAAGCCCTGGCCGATCCTCCCAACAGCAGCAGTAACAGAAATGTCTCCATCTTCATCATCGTATTATACGTATCGTGTCGTGTTTGTGACACTTCTCGTGGCTAACTGCTATAATATATCGACTTGAACAGCACTGGAATGCAATTCAAATCAATCAATCATCATTGCACGGACCCACCAGGGCATGGCAGGTATATACATACATATGAACACAAGTCAGATAAAACGTGTAGAGAGCGAAGTCTATAATTATAGCTGTACAGCTGTCGATACGTTGTGGAATTCACTTTAATGTGCACCATCATTGGTGGTATTTGAAGTCACATAAGACAGACACTTAATTGGAGGCACGAGTGACCACCACCCACTCCCACTACAAACTCCATGGCAGATCATGAGTCACCGAATACCAGCTGTCGGCAATCAGCCCCTAAGAGGCTAATTCTGCCTAAACACTCTCATTTAAATAATAAACCTTGTTTTTCAAGTGAGGTGCTTGAAATTCCTGCACATTCAGGAAATTTCCGGCACATTCCCCATACATTATGATATGGGTTTCTTATTTAAATGAGAGAGTGTTCCTATTTACTAGAGATAATTTCTGGTGAAAGTTTAACCTTATCCATCAATCATCTAGGAACTGCATGGCTACTGCTGTTTTTTATATTCTGTACGGAATTTTACAAATCATAGCTAGAGCAAGAGCTACCTTGTTTATTTGTCACTAAACCTGAGAATTGACCTAAGCAATCAGCCATTCAAAAGGCTATTATTTGTAAGTTGCCTCTCTCGGTGGCATTCAGATTTTTCAGCCACGTTTAATTCCGCATGCGCACAGACTTGCCGCACCGGCAGATCACAGCAGGTAATGCTAAATAATTGGTAATGCGATCGTTTAGTGTCCATATCATTACGTATCTGGTCCAAAAAAATCCGAACACTTTTACACTTTCAGTAGAAAATATCTCTAGTAAATAGGTAGAATTATGGATGACTACTTGCAACACAGATATGAGCAGAATAATAATTATTAATGTAGAGCTGCATATTATCAGAATCTATCTTATACAAGTTTGTCCGCATCTTGCAACATAAACTTTTAAAAAGTGAACAAAGTTGTAGCCAGCCCAAATAATAATAGGCAGTTGAGCGGCAAAAACAATAAGAAGGAATGCCAGCTCCAGTGTCCCAGTGGCAGTGGAGACATTCAACATCCAGAGATAGTGAACAAGTGCACACAGTCCGAACAACATGAAATAGAAACTCAGAGATATGTTGGCTAGTGTCGACTTACAAGGATTAACATAGGATACAAAGAGTGAGAAAAATGTAAAGATGAAACAAACATACATGTCAATTACATAGCCATAGCCAAGTGCTAGTTGGACAATTCCACAAAATGCATGTATAATCGGAATACACAGTATACAGACTCCAGCAAAATATCTATAGTCCTTAGTGCCATTCAAACCGTCTTTAAAACAATTGTTCAGAGCTTCAACAAACGACATTATAGCCAGTTGTTTTCTACCACTAATATACCGACAACAAAACCTGTACACTCTTGTTGGGTAAATAACTAAAAGCAATGATGGGAGAAATACAACAATTGTATACTGTAGGAGAGATATCGAGAGGTAAAAGATGTTAGCTGGACTTAGATACTCAACTGTAGCATCAAAGTACAGAACATGCCTATAGATTTGACCATTGTTTCCTACTATTGTCACCCTCTCAGTCATGGCGTACACGTTAACCATACTCATTGTAGAAGACAGGAAGATGAATGTTGCAAAGGCACGGATCAGCGAATCACTAGTGACAGATGTAATGTTGGTCTTCCCGAGTATGATTCCAAATGGCTTCCAAAGCACTTTAACAATCCTGCAGTTTCTTGTGTAGAGTTCCATGAGAACAAATGAAATGACAACAAGTACTATTGGAAAAGTAGTTGGCAGTATATTTAGCAGTACGACATGAATGTCCTTTAGTTTCTCACTGATGCAAAATGGTGGAATGAGATGTCGTAGAAAACCCATATTCCATGCCTCGAATAATATCACACTAATTTTAAGAAACAGTTTGAAAGGCAACAAGGCGTGCGACTGAATAAAGGAATAGATGTACATGTAGTGTGCAACAGCTACTGAAAGTCCCTGGCAGAATAACACGTAGCCCAACATGGGCCCCGACGTGACATTGAGACGGAATATGAGCACAAGAAGGAAACACAGTGCGATAGGAACAAACGCCACCAGCACATAGAGACATATAGCAGAGCCCGTTGAGAGTTTAGAGCAATCAACACATGTCCTATCGAGAGAGTAAACCGCTGGTCCATAACCATCAATACACTCTGAACACTGGAAACCCTTCCTGTTGTAGGGTCCACACATTGCTTCCTCCAATAGTGCAGGATCTGAAGGGAGCTCAGAGTACAGTCTGTTGGTGTGGTTGACCTTGTACCACAGTGGGCTGTTTCCACCATAGAAAAGACTTCCTTGTCCCGAGTATGTGACACAGTATCCACTCTTCAGTTGAACCTTCATCGTCTCCTGGTTACAGTAGAGGTAGCCACTGTAATATCTATTATCGCTACACTCGCACTTCAGTGTGCTGTTGTCAAAGAAGAGCCAAGTGGGACAGCTATAGTCACTGGCTAGGGATGGCATTGCTGTAGTACAGCACCAGAAAAGCAGAGCTAAAAGCATAGTTGATACTTATTCTCCACACCGTAAAGGCTTAGTATACGGATTATTATGGATGTCTCTGTGATTATTGTGGCGGATTTTAAACATGTGTCACATGCATTCTGTTGTACCTAAACAAACCAGAAAAAGCTGTTGGCACATGTAGTCCAGACAATTTCCCCCATGAGAACCTATGTTGATTGTCATCAGATGTTTAGCTCACTTGCTTAGATACATGTCCACAAGTGAAAGTAGGTAGATAAGCATTCACCAGCTGCTCTAACAACATAAACTACAGTTTCTCTGTTGTGATAGTACAAGTGGAAAATGAATGGGGATATAGGGATGGCTCAAAGCACGAAAAAGGAAAGAATAAGGGGTCTTACACAGCTAAGACACACAAATGAACATGGCACTATCCCTATATCTTGTACTTCCCTATTAGTCAACAGAACAAAGATATAGGGGATAGTGTCATGTTGATTTGTGTGTCTTAGCTGTGAAAGACCCCTTGTTCTTTCCTTTTTGGTGCTTTGAGCCATCCCTATATCCCCCTTCATTTTGAAGAAATGATTTTTCCACTTGTTTCCATTCTTTTTCATGAACCACTCTGACTACACAGAAAGCTTTTGTATAGACCAAAATGAAGTTGGGTAAGCAGGGACACTGAAACACACCACAAAAGTGGAAGGTGCGTATGAGGTCTTTGGGAACATGTACAGGTAGATATGGGCCCGTAGATTATTGCTAGTGTGTTTTGAAGGCCTAGGGAGTGATTCTCGCCGAGTTTTGAGGCGTTTTGTATGCGGATCACATGAGATTTGACCCGTGCCATCCCCTATATAGAGCATCTACCGACGCTCTGATAAAGGCTGGGCTCAAAGTCTGCAATAAAGTACAACACAAGGCAAACCCCAAACTCCAGTGCTATGGAACAGATCAGGGGAAATAAACCACCAAAGACGCCCAACTCCAAAAAAGTAGATACAACTAGGATCACAGCATTGCACTATTCATGAGTAAATTAAAAACACAGCACATGAAAAGGGTTGTTGCTACTATTATTATGCATGCCAACACACTTTAACAATAAACTACAGTTGTTAAGTTATAAGTTGGTGACCAGGTAGACGATGGTGGGTTGCTTCATCTTATCTCGAATAGCGGAGATTAAGCCAATATTCGGCTTTCTTCAGGAGGTAGTGGATTAAGTAATAGCCAGCCCAGAAAATGACTGGGAGTTGAGCAGCCACGATAATGAAAAGAAATGCCAGCTTTAGTGATTCAGTTCCAGTAGAAACATTCAACATCCAGAGATAGTGAGCCAGTCCACACACTCCAAACAGAAACGAATAAAAACTAAGAGACATGTTGGTAACAGTTGACTTACAAGGCCTTGCATAGGATATAAAAAACGACAAGAAGGAAAAAGCAAAACAGGCGCAAATGTCAATGTGGTACTGGCTGGCAATAGTTTTCTGTACCACCAGACACCACACTCCAAGCAGAGGCATACCAAATATCAGTACTCCAGCCACTGCCCTGTAGTCCACTGTGCCCATTCAAACCATCCTTGAAACAGCTGTGTAGAGCCTCGGCAAATGTCCTAATGGCCTGTTGTTTCCTGGCATTTATACCCCGAGAGAGAAATCTATAGAACCGTGAAGGGTAGAGGGAGAGCACCACAGAGGGGATGAGTACGAGAAAGAAGCACTGGACAGAGGCTATCAGGAGAAAGACGATGTGGGAGCGACTCAGAAAGTCAATGTTCGCATCAAAATACAGGACAGTTCGGTAGAGACTGTGGTCTGTGTTTCTCGACATATTCACACTCTGAAGCATGGCGTACATGGCAAACATGTTAGTGGTGGAAGATAACAAGATGAATGTTGCAAAGGCACGTATGAGGGCATCACTAGTGACCGCTCTTGTCTGTGCCTTCCTGAGAACTAGAGCAATTAATGGCTTACAAAGAATACGAATAACTTTGTAGTTCCTTCCATGAAGGTCTATGAGAATAAAGGACATGATCACAAGCACAATTGGATAGATGCTAGGCAGAGAATTCAGTAGCAGGACATGAACTCCAGTTATTTTGTCACTGATACAAAATGGAGGGATGAAAGCCTTCAAAAACCTCAAGTTCCAAAACTCAAATATCACCATAAGAACCTCAACAAAAGTCCTAATGTAAGGTGAAGAGTGCGAGTGTAAAAAGCTGTAAATATTAGCATCGTACTCCATGGCAACGGAAAAGCCCTGACAGAACATCACATAACCCAATATTGGTCCAGAAGTAATTTTGAATCGAAAAATCATGACCGCAATGAAAAAAAGTGTGATTGGAACCAGGTCTGCCAGAATATAGAGACATATAGCAGAGCCCGTTGAGAGTTTAGAGCAATCAACACATGTCCTATCGAGAGAGTAAACCCCTGGTCCATAACCATCAATACACTCTGAACACTGGAAACCCTTCCTGTTGTAGGGTCCACACATTGCTTCCTCCAATAGTGCCGGAACTGAAGGGAGCTCAGAGTACAGTCTGTTGGTGTTGTTGACTGTGTACCGTATCGGACATATACCACCATAGAAGACACCGTCCTGTCCAGAGTAAGTGATACAGTACCCGCTCTTCATGACTGCCTCCATGGTCAACTTGTTGCAGTGGATTGAAGCTGTCTGATAGCCACACTCACATCCCCCCGTCACATTGCTATAGTAGAGCCACGTGGGACAGCTGTAGTAGTCCCTTGCCCGAGCTAGGGGGACATTCACTACGAGAACGCAACACCATAACACTAAACAAGACAACATGACTGAGGCAGTCTGCTGAATCTTTGACAAGCCCAACGAAACTAAAAGAGACATCAAACACTGCAAACTTAGTATATATAAGAAGTCACACAGGCACAACGGAACCCATCTAAGTTTACACACCTGCTCTTAAGCAAACTGTTAACCTTTCATTGTTAGTTGATCATCGTATTGTAATAATAATACTCAGGTGGCTGCCATAGCACTAGGGCCATAGACCATGCACCCAGAGCAATGGGCGGAACCGTTAACAAACGAACATACACCATATGAACATGCGGTGTCTGTCTCACCTCCCAGACACCTCAACTCAACCCCTTCCACCAGTGACACCCTGAGCTGCAGCTCCCCAGACGCAATCTGAGACTGGGTCTGTTGTACGCGGGAGATTAGCCGTATAACCTAACCTTCCTTAGCTCCCAAACATCCAAAATAAAACCTTTAACAAAGCCAAGCAAAGAACCAAATTTATCCTCCCACAGCTCACTACCCAATATAAATGATGCTTTCCTGAAACTATCAAGCGACTGGAAATGCTCAAACCCATCATCCCCAAGCTTCCCCTGCAGGGCATTGTAACTAAACGTGAATTTTCCTGAGGCAAATAGGACCATTCAGTCCACACAACATAACCAAAAACTGCGTTTCTGGCATGCAAATGGAGAGAACTGCAGTTGGCATAAAACCAAACTTCTTGGTCGGTGGTTAAGCTGTCTCTTGAAAGTAATTACAAGTAAAACATTCTTCGAATTGGAATATAAGGATGCCATAAAAAGCAAGGAGACAAGACAGGGATGACCTAGTGAACGTGATGCAGTAGTACAATGATGATGGCTACATACTTCGAACAAACATGAGTTTGTTTAGTAAATGGTGTAAAGTTTGAGGACAATAATGAAGGGATTCTGTAGATGGCCAAGAATGCAGCACTGTCAAACTGGTCTTAGACTTCACACAATGCAGTCACAACTGAAAACCGAGTACATTATGGTGATACCTGTCTAATGTGCTTATGACATAGCTGTGCATCAATATACAAGGGAGCACACTCGTACTTCGCGACAATATAGGGCTTGTGTGGAAGAAATTTTACACGAGCAAGCGATGTCAGTTCAAAGTATAATATGTAGCCATCATCCATTGTACTATTGCATCATGTTCACTAGGTCATCCCTGTCTTGTCTCCTTGCTTTTTATGGCATCCCTATATTCCAAACTTTTTTTACTTGTCTCCTTTCCTTTTTTTACTGCATTCACATGCATGGTGTGCAATAAAAAGTTGGGCATAAGCCCATAAAAAAGTAACATTAGAGGCCTTAAGCTATTGCCCCAGATGTTTTGTTGTCATTCACATTACATCAGTGCAGACCCATCATAAGAGTTAACACCATTTAAAAGTCTTTTTTGCCTGAGGCTGTTTGTTGTCGTTTACAACCTTGTAATTTCTGTTTCACTTTATCATGATGAATCAGTGTACTAAGTTTCATTGTTAGAGGACCAACCACAAGTAATTTATAGGCACAAACACCATTTACACAAGTTCTTATTGCCTGAGGCTGTTTGTTGTTGTTTAAGTAATTTCTGTTTTGATGAACTCTTATCATGGTATATCAGTGTACTATGTTTCATTGTTAGAGGACCCACAATAAGCAAGTTCGAGGCACAAACACCATTTACAAGTTTATATTGCCTGAGGCTGTTTGTTGTTGTTTACAAACTTGTAATGTTTACATTTTGATACTAACGATGGGTTGCATGTGTGTACAAAGTTTTATCACTCTGAGTATATGCTTTACCTAGTTGGCACACTTTATTGGTCTATATCTGTTTTGTTGTTTTTTGTTCTTTACATGTAAACAGCACTGTTTACAATAAAATGCTCTTGCACGACCTGTCATGGATTCCAATCTCTGTGCAAACCATATCTTTCCTGGTTTGTGAGATACGCATATTGAAACTGAACAACAAGAAGAATTATGAAAACTGACTTTCTTCAATTAATCAATTGAAGCCATTTCTTGGATACATGCTCTTTGTGACGATACGGATCAGTCTATGTGTCAAAAGTTGGATCTGATTGAAACTGGAAGTCAAACATGAAAATCTCAAATGTATGGGCATAATGCTGGACAAATTATACTACTGTACTTAGTGACGAAGCGCTTGCAGCAAACATTTAATGTACAATTTACACACATCACAGGACAGTAGATAACACCCATAACAATCATTCCTAAATATGACACAGGTCCAGGAGAATGAACAGTTTTTACAACAGCACACCATATCAGTGACTCGCCAGCCAACCTGGAAAAGACAAAATTCATATAGAGAGCTTGCTTATACCTCATTTTGACACATGAATGGAGTAAAAACGGAAAAGAAACACTTTTTCCATGGTGTCTAGAGTTCTCTGTATAAGATGCCACCGTTAGAGAAAAGTAGCAAACATGTAAATAGAAACACAGAGGGTAGTAGCCGCTCAATGCAGATGTAAGCCAAAAAAGAGCAAAAATGTGCTGGACGTTACATTACCTTGAGAACGGTATTTGCGGAAGGAGTTCCAGTAGGCCTTGGACTGAGATCTGCAGCGCTGCTGGTGGTTCACCTCCTCTCTCTTGACACAGTCTGACAGTCTCTCCTGCAGGATCTTCAGCTCCTCACGATGGACAGCCCTGCGTCACATTTCACAAGTATGAGCTTATTACATACTGTATACATGAGAATGAGAGTGAAAAGAGAGAGAGAGGGCTATAAGGACTATACTTCTGTGGTACAGTATTTACAGAAGACACTACAGAAAAGTAAATGCGCTTGTAAACGGATTGGTAACCACACATGATACATATATGGGTAATTAACTCCCACAAAAAAATGATTCTCTAAATGAGCGTAAAAAGTACGTGTTAAAACGACATAAACTATGGTAGAGTGAACAGGACAGGTATAGATATTTTGATGAACAAAACTCCCTATCCTAGCCCTATACATCTATGATGCTAGGTACCATGTCAATCCCTATATACTAAGTACTACCGTACTTAGTGATATTATATGTGCTGGGACATTGACCTGTCGCGGACTCTTTGGTGTTTGGCCTTGGTGTATGCCACGAAATCATTTCTGTCAACCTCTTCCAGTTCTGGCACTCTTTCGTACTCTCTCGGCCACTTGTTGGGCACTGCTCATCAACACACACACACACAGAGGAAGAGAATACAGACAGAATCAAAGAGAAAAACCCTTTTATAGACAGAGCAATAGTGTATATACACCCAGTAAAAGCCTTCCTTACTGAAGCATCTTTTCCGTAATAGTTCACTGTACATGTGTGTCTATCATCACCACCACAGGCAATGAGTTAAATATGTTTTGCACACTCTTGCAAGCTAAAACACATGTACCTGAAATGGAAGGAGAAGGATTGTGTGTCGCCATTTCTGGCTCATGAGACGACCGCAGTCTGGGATCGTCCACCTGTGTACACACATGTAACAATTCAGATTAACAAACACGTTCAAAGGCCAGTGAAAAATAAAAGATTCGTTGGTCAGATAACAAACACCGTCTTACCGCTGCATACTTGCACCATAGCTGAGAAGGAATGAACCGATAGGGTGGTACTGGCCGGCGCTGCGGAGGAACAGTGTGTTAACAAGTAAATACGACATTCTCGAAAAGGCCAGCTAATGTGAATTACAGAAGTGTGATTGCGTTTCGCACATTGCCGATGCCGATGCCGACCGATGTGTATGTCGGATCATGGATTTATGATGACTCACTTCCACTTGGCAATAAAGTGGGCAATATTCAGCAGGCTTGTATGTACATAAGATATTAGTGGGTAGTTTCCCCACCTCCACAAAATATCCTACAGAGCCCTACTGTTCATGTACAATCTTACATGTGTAACTGTACTACCACAGAGAGATAAAAAATCAAAACGTCCTTTACCTCCAGCTGGGCAGAGATGTACCACACGACCCCGGAGGAGACCAGGACAAAGAACATGGCGAGACCAGTGTTCTTCCTCCAGTTGGGAGGGTTGCAGTACCATCCACCAGTAGGCGTCCACACAAACTTTGGATAGGGAGACACCGCTGGGTCGTCCTAGTGTAGCAGTGAGTGTGTGGTGTGTGTTGGGATTGGATATCACAGTATGTATATGCCATAAAGATGTTTACCATGCCAAATATGATAGAGACGATATACATAGACTGAGCTCTGTACAGCTGTTCTGAGCTTATTTGCCTTTGCCAGTAGCACAGACTACCAGCTGTAGCTGACGAGCAGACTGTATACACTTGTACATCGAGGCTCACTGCTGCATAACATACAGCAGTCAGTGAAATACTCACCCAGACAGGGACCGTGGCAGTGGGACTGTTGTAGTACTTTACATACTCCTTATACCACTCCTGCTCATCAGGAGTCATTTGCAGAATCTGAAACAGTACGAATGAACGACACCGACAATAAACATGTACTCTGTGATAAATATGCATTGAATACTACCAACAAACGTTTACTTCTTTTGGCAGTGGAGGATTCCTCTCCCATAATGTTCCGTCCGGTGCTTTTGGATCTGCAGGCGGGTACAACATGATGTGCGTTAAATAGAGTTGGGTAAAGTACCAGCTATTCAGCCCAGCGGACAACGCTGTGGGAGGTAAGAACACTCGCCTAGGTAAGGATCGGGATGTTTCTTATTCTGAAGCTCTTCCTCTCCCTGCTGGACCAGCGCCACGGCCAATCGCCGGTCCTGGACGTGTTTGTTGGCGTCGAACCTGACCCGAATTCGCAGAGCCTCTTCTCTCCACGTCACCCGGTCTATGCACCAGGACAAGGAGTTCTTGAGGGAGTGTCTGTAGAGGCGAGTCACTCGCTGAGCATGAGAAACGGCTTGAGCAGAAGCCATTTTGCGGGAGGTCGAACTTTTGACCTCAACCAGTCACGTGCGCAAATTAAAACCATAGCAACGAAACAACACGCTCTCGGCTTAGAGCGTCTAGCTCCCTGGTGTCGGTTTTGGGCCGAAGACACGCGGATGGCTACTACGGCGAACATGGAGGAACTCAGCAAATCTCTAGACGTTTCCCTCACTGAGCAGTCTCCCGATGATTACATTCGAAGAACGCTACGAGCCCACGGTTTCTTCAACCATTTTGAGCCCGCGGGAACCGGCGGCACGACGAGAAAGAGACTAGCCGTGCGTCATGGCATCAGCGAGGAGGACAAGCAGAGAACCACGCAACTCATATCCCACTTCAAGGAGGGGAGGGAGTTCCACACTCTGAAGGAGCCTCGTCACCTCCATGGCTACACTCGGAACAGCCTGCTCCATCAAAACAGTGGGAACAGGTTCCCGTTCTGGCCAGCAGAGGTGGAGTGCATCATGGACAGACCCAGGCACCTCTTGACATCGCCCAGGTTCAGAGAGCCGTACTACAACCCTGAACAGGAGGTCGTGTCCCCAAAGATTCGCAGTGGGGAGGGGAGTGGCAGAACCGTCTACTTGAACCCACCTGGTCCACAAAAGTTCTACATGAAATCGCGATGTGGTCCGAGTCTCAATCTACGATCAGCACAGAGTCCACTCTCTACTGCGGACACTACTCTCCAGTTTGAGTCTCGATTCGAGAGTGGGAATTTGGGCAAAGTCATCCAGGTTGGCAGGTGGGACTATGAACTCTACCTCCGACACGACCTCTACACCAAGAAGTACACCCAATGGTTTTATTTTAGGGTGAGGAACATGCAGGCTGGGCAAACCTACCGCTTTACTATTGTCAATCTGTACAAGGCTGGCAGCCTGTACAATGAGGGGATGCAGCCTGTGTTCTACAGTGAAAGAGAGGCGAAAGAGAGGAAACTGGGCTGGCACAGAACTGGCCACAACATAAAGTACTTCAAGACCTCGATAAAGAGACGGGACACGAAACAAGAGTCGTTCTGCTATGGAGTCACCTGGTCCCACATCTTCAACCACAGTGGAGACACCTGCTACTTTGCCCACAGTTTCCCCTACACTTACTCAGACCTGCAGGACTACATCAAGAAGCTGCTTGCCAACAGACAAATGGCCACCTGCTGCAAGTATAGGGTCCTGTGTCGCACCATAGCCGGGAACCCAGTCCCACTACTGACCATCACCTCTCCCTCTCTCACTCCCGACGACAGTCTAGCCAAGCGGGGCGTGGTGGTGACGGCTAGGATCCACCCGGGGGAGACCAACGGATCGTGGATGATGAAAGGGCTCCTCGATTTCCTCACTAGCTCTGCAGACGACGCCAAAATCCTCCGCGACCTCTTTGTCTTCAAGATTATCCCAATGCTTAATCCCGACGGAGTGATTGTGGGCAACTACCGCTGCTCTCTCTCTGGACGAGACCTCAACAGAAACTACCGCTCCAAACTGAAGGACTCCTACCCCACGGTCTGGCACACCAGAAACATGGTGAAGCAGTTCTGTACGGAGAGGGAGGTGGTCATGTTCTGTGACCTTCACGGCCACAGCCGCAAGCACAACGTCTTTATTTACGGCTGCGATTCCCTGGAAGATGCCTCGTCTCGCCTCAAATCACGTGTGTTCCCTCGCATGCTCAGCAAGAATGCACCAGACATGTTTTCCTACAGCACCTCTAGGTTTGTGGTGCAGAAGAGCAAGGAAGGTACTGGGCGGGTTGTGATGTGGAGAGAGGCCGGCATCCAGAATAGCTATACACTAGAGGCGACTTATTCAGGGTCAACACAGGGGAAGTTGAAATTCGTCCAATTCTCAACCGCGCACTTGGAAGAGATGGGCTACCACTTGTGTGACACTCTGTTGGATTACTGCGACCCCGACCAGACTAAGACAGAGAGCATCATGCAGGAACTCGAGGAAGATTACAGAAAGTCGGTCCTATCTGCATTGGCGTCATTAGGACAGGAGCTTCCCCCTGGAGTTGATCCCCTCGAGGTTCAGATTGATCCAGCCCTCGTTGCTGAAGCGGACAGTAGTGATGCTGGTAGTGATAGCTCCGACAGTGATGGACCACCGGTCCACCTCCAGTGGAAGAAACATCATCACAAGACCAAGAAAAAGAAGAAACTCAAGTCACGAAAGGAGAGAAACAAGCGAAAAGCCTTGCTGAAGATGAACCACCACCGCATGCTCTCAATTCCAACACCACCTCAGTCAACAGTTCACACTAAGACACGGGCCCAAAAAAGATCCCTCCCCGAAACAAGGGAGGAGAGAGAAACAAGAATTGAACCGACAACCACTCAGCAGTCATGTGGCACGTCTCACCCCTCATCTCACCACGGAGGAATTCCCCTGTTTGTCCAGGAGCGTCTAGAGGAGAGAGAGAGAAAAAAGGGAGAGGACAGCAGTGACGCTGTAATTGAAATCCCAACTGATGAACTGAGACAGGCTCTCCTTCGCATTCAGGCCACCCACACCCAGCAGGCGCTCAGCTCCACTCTGTTTATTCCCCACCCCGGCTGCCCCATGAACATATCCCAGGTCAACATGCACGAGGTCTCACGTAGACAGAGCAGGCGGAACAGCAAGGCTTCCCTGCCACAGCTCGACGGCGGGAGTTTCGTTCCACCAGAACTTCCACCACTCTTCTCCATCACCGTCTGGCAACCGGAAACCCAAGGCTGGGTTCACATCTCAGTACATGGCTCACCACCTCCAGCACATTGGGTCAACTAGTCGCCTTCCTCCCGAATCCAGCCACATCAACAACACCAGGAACCTGTCTAATCTCTCGCGTTTGTTTCGCCAGCTTCATCCACCAGCAGCTTCATCTCGCACCGCTGAACGACAGACTGTAACAGAAGAAAATAGACTGCAGGACAATTCCAATGAGCACAGAGAACACACGATCCAAGATAGTCACCTGAGCCCAAAGCCAGCAACTAATTCTCTAGCTGAAATACTGAGAGGAGTACCTGGAATTACAAGTGGGAGCAGTAAATACTACACAGCTGAACACTACTCACAGAGACCTCAAGGCATATCAACATCGTCCAGGTACAAGATGTCGCCTGAAGCAAAGACTGACACTTCCAGCAGTAACCTGAGCAGAGGGAGCCCGCCCGGCAGTAGTAGCTCCGTCAATACTAGCAGCTGGGAGAGCTTCTCACAGGGAATGACACTGAGAGACCGTCAACGCCAACGAACAACAACAACAACAACAACAACCAGAAGATGCAGAGAGAGACGAAGTCCTAAAGCAAGAACGACTAAGAGCAAAGAAAAATAAGGTCGTGGAACCTGTGAACAAGGGAGCAGTTAAAGTGACTGAAAACAGAATAGCGGCAACTAAAGTCATGTTAGATGCACAGTTGGAAGCTAGGGCCCGGAGGGAGGAAGACCTCACAGAGTACCTCACCAAGAAGAAAGGGAAACAAAGAGAAACCACTGATGAGCAACCACCACCACTAGATCAAACTCCCAACTCCTCACCGATATTCACTCAGCTACCTCCTGACCAGAGACGAACTGAATCCATCACAACACACAAGCAAGGTATCATCAGTGCCATGGAGAACACACATCTACCAAAGCATCCTGAATATAGGATCACAACTGCACCACAGCTCACAAAGTCCAGGTCAGACCCTCTGCCCTCTGCAAGGCTGCTGACACCTCTGCCAAAGGACTACACAGTCTCTCAGAACTCAGAGCAGTATAATTCTGCCTCCAGGACAACTGATGAGAGTATCACACAGGTAGAGAGAAGGGCTGTGGGACTTGGAAAGAAAATTGAAGAAACCCAACACCAACTGACAAACCAGAAACACCATTCTGACAACACCATGGCTTACTATGATGAATTGACACATGTTAGGACTGGGGTAATACCAGGTGGTACATCCAATGAGACAGCCAGTGAACATGACCCACTGCTGCCCCGAATCTACTCCAGCAAGCCACCCTCTCGCTACGGGCCTCGTCCGGGGCCAGACGATGGGGTTCCCCCCTCGACAGTGTCAATCATGCTGACCAGGAGACCAAGGTCTACTTCAAGACCTGCCACCATCCACTGCAGCAGCAGGAGAAGAAAACACTCCCATAACATTCACTACTTCACCAACAGAACCTTGCAGTGACCTTGAGTTTTTAATGACAGACTATGTCCAACAGTAATGCACTATTATGTAGTTGCATATCAATCGTGTTGCAACCCTCCTGGATTATTATTATCACAAGCTTTTATGCCTACTGCCCCCATGTATTATTAAGCCCTTTGGGGTATATAAACTGCAACACGTGATTAATCAAGCCTTTGAATAATCATTGAGAACGTTATGTATTGAACCCAGTGCTGCAAGCTCATATACACACTGCTTGAAGAGTCCAGACTTGCTATCTTACTTATAATAGTATACTATGTAACAGCCAATACATTTGATCCATAGAGAATTTAACTATTTCACCGTAATACCCTTGGAAAATTGAAATACCCCCCGAAAATTTAAATTCCCCAGAAAATCGACCAATCAAATCAAGTGACTAGGAAATCAATGTGAAATACTTCATACAAGTTACAGCTCCAGAAACAAGTGTCGCGAAAGATCTTGTGAGCATGACTATAGCTAATCTATATAACACACTGATCACTATACACAGCACTATACTATTAACATGTGATAGTGCAGTTTGGTGTGGTATTAGGGGATTAATAGTGATGGAATTTTAAAAAATAGTATTCGGCTTCGCCTCATACTATTTTGAAAAATTCCATCCCTATTAATCCCTAATACCACACCAAACTGCACTATTACCTATACTAATAATATAATTATGGTGTAATCAGCAGGAAATGTATCCCTCAGTTCACTAAGGACTCTTCAAGAAGTGAGGCTTCGCATCATGAAGCACTCATGCTCAGCCAGAAGAATCACTGAAAACAATTTTCCATCATCAGATGTGTGGCTACTTTGATGGTTCCCCAACAACTAACCTTTTGGCTTAAAGTACTATAATTATAGCTAACTACGAATACTCGATCACCTATATAAACTGGTTGTATATAAGTAGACCGACCCAACACTAAGAAGAAGAGTGTCACATCATCATAGTCTACTGTCAGTCATGAGTTACTTACTAGCTATTATAAGTAGCATTTCAGATGGCGGAGTGAGGTAACATGTCTACAGTCCACTGAGCTGCGACACTAAGACTTAGGACTTCACATTGTCTACGATCACAGACGAGGAAGATTTGCATAATACTTAGCATGAAGTTTGGGTGTCTTGGTTGGAATTCACTACCCGAAAAGGTTCAGTGCCTTCGAACCTCCCCAAACTAGCGCAGAACCACACACCCCGGCTGCTCCTATAGGAATTACTGTGCGCTTCTGCACAGAAAGAAACAAATATTAATTTTTGTTTGTTCAGTTTCTCATTCAAGCAATTATATACCACCTCATGGATCTCAACTATAGCCAATCTAGTCAGATAGCGAATTGGCTAATTGCGCATGTGCAAAGAAATCGTCGTGGACGTGGGGGGTTTGTGCGCGGGGGCGTGTGCGGCGGCGCACGCGCCGAGTTCCCGTCCGTCGTGTACGTTACGCTATTCGTGCGAAATACGCACGAACACCATACGGAAAACGCTTACCCGAACGTAGCTCGCTAAATTTCCTTGCGAGCTCGACCTATGCTCGTGTTTCACTTCCGGCGCCTGCGGCTAATCAATTCAAATTCCACACAGAAACACCCTAGTGACAATGCGTACACTAGAGTCACTGTACAAAAGGTGATAATAGTGTTGATTATTTCTACAAGCTTAATGTACAATCTGTTCAGTGGGAGGTAATGTCTGAGACTACATGTCTAGGAAATTGCAGTAAGTGTCAAATGAATCCAAATAGGCCAAAATCGCTTCAAACAACAAGTGATACTGGGTCTGTAAAAAAGAAAGATAAAATAATATTGCAAAGTACAATCTTAATTAACTAAGTGGATAGATAACCCACCACAGTGAGGACAGCTCCAGGTTTGTGTACCCTGAGAGCCTTGACCACCTGGAACACATCCACCACTCCCTCTGTCTTACACCTCTCAATGGTGGTGACTATGGCACAGAACATCCCTGACCTACCCACTGTGTCACTGCAAAATGCAAAATGCAAATGAGGCATTGTTGAGCAAAACTACTACATAGTTCAGCTATCTTGTAGCCACCTTCCCATGCCAGAGATAGGCTCCTGACTGTACCTCAACAATACAAGGAGGAGACACTCAGTGTAGGTTTGATTGTTGCTGGGCAGCAAGGCTAGGGAGAGGACTAGAGAATGCAGAGGTTCCACAAGGCTGGTGACCACTGGTCAGGACAATGACTCTACATTCCTTGGATTGATAGCCACATCCCACAATGGCCAACCTCAGATATTGTTGGCAGCTGTCTATTATACCACAGACCAGTTACTGACCTGCAGTGTACTACAACAGGATTGTTGCCAGTTCTCCTCTGAATGGCAGACATCTCATTTATCACACTGGTGATAGTGGCCAGGTGAGAGCAGCTGCCATCAGGACTCCAGTTAGTCATGTGCAACTGAACCACCTGGTGGGCACTGCCTTCCTGTAAAAAGAACCCCAAAATATATTTTCTACCATCTATGAAAACCTTCCTTAATACCTTCTCACTGTAGACGCTTAATTTGCGCATGACGAATCCCTCCATGACCTTTTCCTCCATCAGATCAACTGTGTAGCCCACAAACTGAATCAGTCCAGTCTGAGGCCAATACTGGTAACACGTCTCCTGCAGTTTTCAATAGCACTTGTAGCTACGAGAGTCACTGTGCCAGAGTAGGGTTTGGGTACCTGTTCGTCTTCCACCAAGTCACAGAGCATAACAATGACTCCACACTTCCTGTCATGGACCATCTTCCAGAAATCTCTGGCTGTGGACTCCATGGGACTCTGAGCTATGATGAATGCTCTCTGTTGCTTGTAACCCTGCGAAACGAAAATGCAGTTGGTGAAATTAAGTAAAAGTGTCACCCAAAGGAGTGCATACATTAACAAAAACGGCGTGGATATAAGTCTGGAGATGTCCTCTCAGTGCCACACGCCAGGCATCACCTATAGTATGAGTTTTTACAAAGAAAGAGAGAGAAATAATCAACACACCAGAACCCTCACCCGAAAAACACACACCACAAACGTTGTATTTTCATACACATGACCACAGTGAGTACATGACTCATTACCAGGGAGGTAGTCATCACTCCGATTCTTGGTGGGATTACGAAGAGCCTCGCTCCTTGCAATCTCTCCTGGCTTTACAGAAACCTTCTCAAGTACCTACGCATTTGAAAAATGCTCAGTTTAGTATTTATTGATAGCTAATGTGCATTGATTTTACCTCGAACTGCTTTTCAAAATCGTTGAGATTGGTTTGTGTGTCACATTCAGTCATTTTCTGAGTAACTCTGCGGAGGTTACAGGCATCGATTTGGGTATCACCGCATGTCAGGACCTCAAGGATAGCATCATGGATGAAGATATATTGTTCCTGTGTTCAAACAGCAACACCAAATACGGTCACTGGAATAGCTATGCACACTACTACAACGATGCAATGGACTGGAAAAGAATTGAAGAGGACCTCACAAATTCCTATAGTAGGCAGTAGTGACATAACCTCTAAGCCAGATAGTGATACAAAGTTACATAAGCAGTGTATGCACTGTCAGGTGTATCCCATCCCCACTAGTTGCACCACTCACCAAGCTCTGGACCATTTTCATTCTCTGTGTGCGGAGGTGGATGATGACACCAGCTATATCCACCACCTTCTCCTCTTCTTTCAGCTGCTCAAGAACACAGTCAATAGTTATCAGAGTCCCTGTCCTCCCAACACCAGCACTGTTTGAATAGGCAACGGAATCGTTTAAGCTTGTACATGCTAATTGTTGTACCTGCAATGGACAATAATTGGACCCATTCCTCCCTTGTGATGTTTCTTCACTTTTTTGTGGAAGGCCAGAAGTGAAGTGGCATAGTCAGGCACTCCATGGTCAGGCCAGGCTGTGAAGTGGAACTGAGTCACACTCAGAGCTGGTTCTGAGCTCTCTGCCAGCTGTGAGAGTGACAATGCTCATATAATCACATGCACACACATAACATGATGCATTACCTGGACACTAAACTCCCGAGTGGTGTAGTCAGCCAGTATCTGTTGTCCTGTGATGGTGACATTGAAGGGACCAAAGGACAGCATCCCAGTCTCCGGCCAGTACTTGTGACACTTGATCCTATTTCCCTCCACCAGATTGGTGACCATCACAATGCTCTGAGACCTCTCCTGCCACACCATCCTCCAGAAGTCAACAGTTGTGTTAGGCAGTGGTCCTGTAGTAAACACCTTGCATCAAAGACAGCCTGGCTACTACTTTGGCTTACCTTGCGTGGCTATGAACTTGTGCTCAAAGTTGTATCCCTATACATAGGAGTGAGCTTTACATATGTGTTACACTCATGCAGTAAGTTCACTGCACATTATGGATTGGACTTAGTTAAAGATAGGATCCAGCTTACATCAATGTAACTGGCATTAATGTAGTCTCCTTTGTACTCAGTGTGTCCTTCAACTGCCATGAGTAAAGACCCTGTTATCATCATCTGGATTGACACGTTCCATAATGAATAGAGCACAGATGGCAACAGTAATGCCTTACATGGCATGATATTTTTATATCTGTTGAGCTTTTGCAGACTCGTGTTAGATCCAGCAATCGTGGAAAAGCCTGCACCACAGTCTTGCATCACCTGAAACAGAGTCCAGGTGTAGTTTAGTGTTGCCTCGTGTATGCAAATGCTCAATCCAATCTCACTGTAAACTGATGTTTGAAGTCTCTGTTGTCACTGGAGTGACATCGTGTGACGTAATCTCCAAAACACTTCAGCCAAGATTGATCAAAGAAGGCATTTTCCTTCAGTGTAGGAGAGTCGTCACTTCCCTGAGAGACAAATAAAGTAAGTATCCTCGCTGTATACGTACTTCTCCCCTTACCTCAATGTCGAGCAAATATTTTTCCAGATCATCAGTCTTCTCTTCAATAGGTGCCATCACTGGCTCTGTGATGGAAAACCCAAAACACGTTCAGAATCATCATTGTCAATAAAAAAATATTTTAATGACATACCAATCATTGTTGTCTCTGTGGAGAGAGCGTGCTCAATAGCCTCGCTGTCATGGGAGATGTAGAAGGGTTAGTGTGGAGAGAAGAGGGGAGTGAACCATGTGGAAGCTTTCAAACCCCAAAGACAGGACTCACCCTTGAGGGACATCTTCTTTGACTTAGTACAACATCGCCTCCTGTGAGAAAGGATTTCCAGATACACAATATAAAACACTGTGTACAGTAATGGTGTGACATTAGTCTGAGGTAACTGGGTGAAGAAGCTATCCCGTGCCTCACTTGTGTGCCCACATTACCTATGGTGCAGTTAGGGTGTGACCCTAATAATCTGAGGTAACCTGGTAAAGAAGCATCAGTGCCCTGCTCACGCCCTTACATTACCAATGTGTGTGTACAGCTAGGGTGGATCTGAGGTAACCTGGTAAAGAAAGATATTCCACACCTCTCTCATAACCTTACATTCTTACATACCTATACATGTGGCAGATTAGGGTTGTGGACTTCGACAGATGCAACGCAGAAAGACTATGA